AATTCCATTCTAGGCCAGTTAATTAAAACAATATAATAGTCAGCTCCAAAAAATGTTGTAAGAAATATCCTGAGCATTAGGAAAGAAAGAGAATCGAAGGGGAAAGGGGGTCAATATGGACAGCAATATGGTAGAGAGAAAATGGGGGAGGGGGGATGGAAGAGAAAAGTCTAGTGAATAAAGAGACAGAGGAGAAGAAAGAGACTGAAAAAATGTAGGAAAAGAACCCTAGTGGAACAGGAGAGGATGAGGAACCTTAATGCACACAAATACAAGGATTCCAGATCTTATAGAATTATACAGAAAGTACCCTGTAGAGGGGCCATTATTTTATAAATTGTCAAAACTTATTGAGTTTTACTCAAGATTTCAGAATGAGAAGGTAAGGAGACCTTCCATTGTTTAGCAATGCACACTTTAGTTGCTATGCATATCCCCCCAAAAAATCAGTTTATTGGCAGCCAGGGTTAAGTCCTTAAAAGGGAGGGATGTATAAATTTTATGAAGTCTGGTAGAAACTAAATAACATCTAACAAGTTACTCTTGGGAATTTTCCCAAAGCAGGGTGCAAGCTGTGACCTTGGAGGAGTTCTAAAGAGCTCCCCAAAGTTGGTCTCCCATTGCAGAATAAAATAATGTTTGTGGGGAAATAGAACACCTATAGGGCATAGATAACAGAGATTAAGCCAGGGGACCTAACCTTTCGGCTACAAAGCACTTCATAAGGGAATGGGGTTGTCAGTTAGAAATGCTTAAATGTGGTGTTGAACAAAATGCTTCAGTTATTCACAAACTATTCTTAACATCCAGTAACCAGACACCCTTCTAAGACCTAAACACCACCTTAATAGCCCGTGTCCCTCCTAACACTAATCTCACCCTACTCCGACTCCCCTTAACCGTAACCCAAGTAGTATTTTAACCCAGTATTTTAAGAGGGCTTTAATGAAGCCACTCTCACTGTTGCCTGATATACTGATACCTGATATACATATTCATTTGGTACATATTCCTTTTGTAACAATTAATATCAGTAAAAAAAATAATAATTGAGCCCTATGTCATTTAACCTCTTAATGGCATTAGGATGTGTCATTACGTCCTTAGAAGCCAGGGCTTTGTTGCCGTTTGGACATAATGGCCCATCCTAACGTTTGGTAAGAGAATAGTTAAATCCCTGCTCATGCTAGGGAGACTCAGTTATCAGTTGACACCTGGGACTCCCCTTTGCCAGCTGTGGGCATATTTAGTGGCCCTAGACTGACAGATGAGCTGTATTCAGTGCACAAATTTGGATTTAAATCACCAAGGTGGCACTATATAAATGGCAAAAATATTAACAATAATAATCATAATGCAGATACAACTTAATGTGAGCAAGGTAAATCACTGCTCACACCAGGAAGAGACCCAAAGTGAGTGCTGCATGCAGCACTATTTAAATCTCAGGGGCTGAATGTGATTGTGCTCAATCTCAATGATTCTCCGGCGTCAAGCTGCATGCCCCCTGCCAGTTGTAATAGTTTCTGTACTTTGTAAAGATTTTTTTTTAAAAACAGTCAATAGATGGCAGTCACTCTTCTAGCTAGAAAATCCCTCTGTATATATCAGTACTGATATTAGCAGAGGGAATCCTCTAGGTTAAGTAGGGGTTGGGTATAGTTTTAGGGCAAAGAAAGAGTTAATACTGGGTTAGAGTTAATACTGTTTTAAACCCTTAAATTATGTTGTGGGACAAATGTATAGCACAAATTCTAGGTTTTGTTTTGGTTCAAAAGCTAGACATTTGCTTCTGCTATAAAGGGTTAAAGGAACAATTTACCTATTATTTCAATAATAAGTTATGCCATCAAACCCCATGTGATAACTTCATCCCGTAGTAGAAGGACAGAAGGCTTTTCAACTGTCCCACCAAAATTGGGACTGGTGGGAGGCCTGGTGCAGTACATTGTCCCAAGTTAGTATGATCCCAGATAGTTGCAACTATGTGCAGCTGCCACCATTTTAATTTTCCTACATGTGGGGATAATGAGTGTAAGTACTACTAATCTTAGTGTGTATGTATTCTTTTGTGTTTTGTAAAAAATATTAGAGTTCTTTTAGATGTTGTGCAAAATCTTGTTGATCCTTGTTCTTGGTGAGTCTGAAAGAATATTCTTGGATTTGTCATCTCAGCCAGGAGTTAATAATTTTCTCCTTTTGTTTTACTCTTTTATAGTTTAGTGTTTCCTGTTACGTAAGTTATGGTATAGTTGAACTGACTGTAAGAATAACCGTTAATATCACAAAAGCCACAGCATATGTGGGTGTATTATTCTCTGGAGTCAATGGATTAGTACAGCTGCCAATCTTCTTTACGAACCTTCCAGGGTGGAGCTAGGCAGGGAAGAGAGACGGCTGAACAGAGCAATGCCCATGGGGTGGGACTGTCCCTAAAGAGGGTTGCCAGGATGACTGACAGCATGCCCTCTCACACAAACCGTGCACAATGCTGAATTACGCTATGCATGGTCCTAGTGACCTGTCTCTTCTGTGGCAGATTTAAAAATGCAGTACGGGTCCCGAGAAATATTTTTGCTAGGACAGAACACTAAAATGCAGGACTGTCCTGGCAAATTTAGAACTGTTAGCACCTATTGGGGGGGGGGGGGAATGGACTGAAAACTATCAAGACAACTCTTCTGGAATAATCTGCCAATCCAATTTGTGAAATTAATCAGAACTAACATATGACCTGAATAAAAAGGCAACTTTCTGTTTATCCCTTTCCTCACACTGAAAAAAAGATTATTTGTGAAGTCCTTATCTCCCTTTAGGTTTTGTTTGAGTTGATGTAAGATGTTTTTCTTCTGTCTACTTATACTTTGAGAATTGTTTACATGAGTGTTGAAAAATATTTTGAAATATATATATGGCTGTTTGCCATTCTTGAGGAAGCTCACAATGTTCCACCATCAAAATAAGGTTGTTGGACCTCTGTGAAGCTTTCAAAATTTAAAGGACCACTCTAGGCACCCAGACCACTTCAGCTTAATGAAGTGGTCTGGGTGCCAGGTCCTTCTAGGGTTAACCCATTGTTTTATAAACATAGCAGTTTCAAAGAAACTGCTATGTATATCAATGGGTTAAGCCTTCCCCCAAATCCTCTAGTGGCTGTCTCATTGACAGCTGCTAGAGGCGCTTGCGTGATTCTCACTCTGAAAATCACAGTGAGAGCATGCAAGCGTCCATAGGAAAGCATTGTAAATGCTTTCCTATGTGACCGGCTGAATGCGCGCACAGCTCTTGCCGCGCGTGCACATTCAGCCGACGGGGTGGATCGGAGGAGGAGAGGAGGCAGAGAGCTCCCCGCCCAGCGCTGGAAAAAGGTAAGTTTTAACTCCTTTCCCCCTTCCAGAGCCAGGCGGGAGGGGGTCCCTGAAGGTGGGGGCACCCTCAGGGCACTATAGTGCCAGGAAAACGAGTATGTTTTCCTGGCACTATAGTGGTCCTTTAAATTTAGGAACAAAATAAACTGAATCCTTCATACCTAAAATACTTTGGGTTATAACAAACATTTTAATCTACTTTGTGCAGAGGGACACAATATATTGTCATTAAAGGTTATTTCCCTCAGGTAACAAAACCGCGATTTTATAACAAGACAGGAGGCTCGTATTATGCATTAACTTTCTTTACTAAACTCCAACAGCAAAGAATATTTTAACAAAGTTTAGTGAAACAATATAAGAAAAAACAGTCAAGTAGTTGCAATGGACTATCCAACAGCCAATCAGCATCATTCTTTGCTGCTCCAGTGGAGATAAGTAACATAAACACATACGCTATAGTTATTCTATTATTCTATTTAATCTTTAGTTTTGGCATATTTATATTATAATGTATATTGGTTATTTCAGTTATTGTTACTAAGGTTAATTCACAAGGCTGTTTGCATCAAAACTCGAGAAAGTATTATTATTATTATACTCTTAATACTTTTAGTTTGCGGACGGTTCGGTCAGTTTGTTTGTGTTTTGTGTGTTTCTAACCAAATGCTATTTGTGCTTCACTTACTCTCCACGATCACCCCTTACGCGGTACGAAGCCATTTAATTTTTTATTTTTTTTTGCTTTCAAATAATTTTTCATTTAGAAAACAGAAAAACTGAACATATGCAAGGAAGATTGTACATGTTTGTAAAATTGTTTGAGATACCAACTTAAAAAGTTTATTTTATGCAAAAAAAAAAGAACCCACACAGTATAATTATTCATAAATAACAAATTATAATCTTCACCCAACGGGTGACATTCACTCCACTCTGACCAAATCTGATTGGTACAAAATGTCTTGCCTGTAAAACTACAGGAAATCTTTAAGGCAACAGCTATGGCATGAAAACGCCAAATAAAATGTACAGAGTTATAGAGAACACAAACGGGTAAAAAGTCAAATGGTCCTTTCACACAGATTGACACAAAATAAAAGGGACTTCTTTAAATTTGTTTAAATTCGTATATGCAAGTAAACGTTTTATCTTTACAAGGGTGTTTGACAGCACACACATAAGAAGATCCATTGCATATTCCTATTGTAGCGATAATTTTAGATAAAAATATATCTTAACCACTTATGGAACATGCAAAGTCACAACTCTTCCACCACCTCGCAAATCCTGAAAATTAAAAAGTACATGCCATGAATTGCCATTAGCATGGCTACAAAAAAAAAAAAAACAGAACAAAAACCACTAAAATAAAAAAACAGGAGTTTTCTGGAAGGATAGACGAGGATTTGGAAGATCTTCTATGGTCTGAAAATATGAAATACATCATCGATTTTAATCTCTTCAACACTGATGGAATTTAGCAGATCATAGGCCAATCAGTGAAGCAGTTAGCAATTTTGTTTCCTCTGTCAATCTATCCAGAGATCATTCAATTTTAGACATTTCATATTTGGTCATCATGATCTCCTCATCGGAGTCCATTAACACTGGAAGTGCTGCATCAGCAAATTAAGTCGGGATATTTTCTTCCACCCACTTCAAGTCTTCATCTGTATTAGTAGCAGGAGGTTTTGATGTTCCATTGGGTTCTGTCTTCGTTCCTCTTAATTTCATTCCTTCAGCTAAATGGTCTGTTACAAAGAATTCTTCCACCTTGTCATCAGAATCATCCATTAGTGGGGTGAATGCGTACCTCTGGTTATTTGCTGAAGGTCTCCAAAGAAACATAATAACAAGCAAGAGAACAGAAAACAGCAATCTCCAGAAAGCATCATCCACCCAAAGCTCCATCCAGTCAGTTGGACAATTTGATAATCTAAAGGTTTTTGTCGTCCATGCCATAAATATTACAGAAGCTGTGGTTAATATACTGTATTGCTTGCTCCACTGCTGCTATACAGAACTAACAGTCTCTGCTGCGATTTGCCAGGGCCATACTGTGAGACATACTGTGAGGTGGGATCTTGCAGTGTCTCTGCTGTAGGGCCTGCAGGGACACAGATTGTCTCTGGGTCAGTCCGCCTTGGTCAGCCGACACCAGCTCTGAAGGATTGGCGGGTGGGCCCAGAGCGTTGCGGGGTCCCCTCCCTCGTTGGTTGTGGATGGGCTCTGTGCCGGTTTAGTTCGCCGGGCAGCGACCCTGTCGGATCGTGGTCTGCTCTGATCACGTACCCCATGTTCTGTATTCCAGTCGTGTGGTGAGTAAGGGCGCCCCTGTCAGGTTCACCTGGCAGGCAGCGTAGGGTCTTGGCTGTGCTGCATATTTTTTGGTGTGGTCGCCTGTCATTGCCTTCCCGGTATGGAAGTTTCATGGCAGCCATTTTGTGCTTTTCTTTCTGCTGTCCTCTCGTCCAGTCTGGGCCCCTCTGGAGTTTAGGTTGGGTCTCTGAACATCTGTAAGGCTGCCTTTGGAGCTGTGCCTTGAGTGTCACTTGTGTTTCAGTTGTTTTGTGCGGGCTGTGAGTGGCCTTTGTGCGGTTCCAGGTTACTGGGTTACCCTTCATGCGGGTGGGGTTCCGGGGGTTCGCCCTATCTCCCCCTGCGCTTCCATGCTTTGGACCCTGCCTCATGTCGCCAGGTGGGGGTCCCTTTTGGGGGGACTGCATCAGGGCCACCAGCTTCTCCCAGAGGGCACCGAAGATGCGGTCGTATCGGCGTTTAGTTTCCTTCTCGATTATGTGCAGAGCTGAGGTCTGTGGGTTGGGCGCCATCTTGCCTGCTCCACGTGTGGCCTCTCTGCTTCACGGTCATGTGAAGGTTTGGTGAGTGCTTGTACACTTGCTTGTGTGGGTGCGGACCGGGATGACCCCCACCGGTCCAGGGGGGGGGAACGCGGGCTCTGTGTTAACTTTCCAGGCATTCTAAGCTGCGGGTGAGCGGCCCTCTCTCTCGTACCTGCTCTTCTGGTAGGCCTCGCCAGTGTGTCAGGCACGTACCGGGTAGGTAGTCACTTGTTGGGTATCGTTGTGTCCATCCTGACAGCCCCCGTCTTCTGGTGACTTTTGTTTGGCTTTTAAAAGCTGTTTCAGCGGCTTTGTGGCGTTTTTTCTGGCAATGGTTGCAGGAGCCGTGGTCAGGCCCTTTAAGTCAAGACCAGACTCTGATACATCAAGAAATATTAAATTTAATTTAAGAAAATGCCAGTATTCAAGTTCCCATGAACAGTCCAGGTTTCATAAGCAATTTATTCCTGTTAAAAAAGAAAGATGCTGGTCACAGACCAGTCATAACTTTCACATATCTAAACAATTTTGTCAGATACCATAATTTCAAGACAGAGACACCCATGCATATAAACTGCCTGGAACTCATGGCAGGATTCTTCGCCTTACACAGTTGTGCGAAAGAAAAATCCAATTGTTGTGTCCTTCTCAAGATGGACAATATTTCAGCGGTTCAATACGTGAATCAATTAGGAGGCATGAAATCCAAACAACTAGCAGACATTGCCAAAGAATTTTGTCACTTTTGCCCCAATTGCAACATAGTTTCACAAGCAGAATATTTTCCCGGCCTGTCCAATACGATAGCAGATTGGAATTCCCGTTTCCTAGTGGATTACAGGGACTGCATGTTGGATCCAAGCACTTTTCAACGCCCTTTTTTTCACTATGGGGCCCATTGTAATTCAACCTTTTTGCATCACTTCTCAATTGCCAGTTAGAAAACAATTTCAGCTGGCGTACAGATCCAGAGGTATTAGGTCAAGATGCGTTTCTTCAATGCTGGAAAAACAGTCAATTATGCATTCCCACTGTTTGCGATGATATCTTGGGTTCTTGTGAAAGCATGGTCTCAGAGATCAACCCTAGTGTTAGTGACTTCTCTTTGGCCATCACAGCCGTGGTTCCCTCAACTTCTCAGCATGCTGATAGATTATCTGAGACGCATACGAATGCGTCAGGATTCACTTCGCGATCCGAATGGTAACCTCCATCCCCTTGTGGTGTCAGACCAACTACCACTAATAGCATCACTTATCCCGGGTCCCACGACTCGAGAATTTCCAGATTCAAATAGAAACATTCTCTCAGAAGCTTGGGCACCAGGTACCCGTGCGAGTTACAGATCAGCCTGCAAAATTTGGCTAAATAGGAACGGGCTGTGGATCCCATCTATTCCAATTTACCAAATATACTTAATTTTTTGTATTCCGCTTTTGACTCAGGGAAAGCATACTGCACTATTAATATGTATCAGCAAACCATAACCCAATTGAATCCTTTCCAGTGGGCAAGCACCCTTTATTCTGCAGACTTATGAAGGGCTTTAGATTCAAATGCCCTCCTTGCCCTAGATATAATTCTACATGGCATGTTAACCTGGTTCTCCAGTTATTAGAATATTGGTGTGTTAATGACTCATTATCTTTAAAATTACTGTCAATTAAACTTACCGTTTCACTTTGTCTCATTCTTCTAAAAGAGTTTCTGATGTTAAGGCTCTAGACCTCAAAAATAAACAATATACTCCAGATGGGGTTTAATTTTCTATAGTTATACGTACTAAAACTAACCTACACTCCGTTTTCTATCCTTTTTTTTTTTTTACTGATCACCCTCTTTTATGTGTTAGAGCTTAAAACCTCTTCCTTAAGACATTCTAATTTATCTCAATTGTTAATCTCTTCTCAAAAGCATTTTCTCCCTGTCACTTCTACGTCTTTAGCCACATGGGTAAGACAAACTATGTCCATGGCAGATATTTCTATATTTGGAGCTCACACCTCCAGAGGAACTATGTCTACTAACGTTTTCCAAGCAGGAGGCTCTTTATCACATTTATTAAAAGCTGCAGATTGGTCTTTGGAATCTACATTTAAAAAGTTTTACTTTAGACCTAACATGCATGTTTCAAAAGTAATTCTGTCATTTGTTTAATTATATATTTTATGTTATTATTTTTTTCTTTTAATATGCATAATATGAGCCTCCTGTCTTGTGTTATAAAATTCAAGATTTTCCTAGTCTTAACGTCAGAAAATATAGGTTTTATTAAAGACAGGAGGCAAGTATTATCCCTCCCATTATCCCACCCTCTTATTTGTATTTCAGCTTGAACCAGTTTGGAGTTTTTTCCAGTGTTTACCTGTTCTAAGAATTTATTCGTTTGGATTACTTCTCTAAAGTCGCAGCTCGAAAGAGGAAGAGGATTGGGGGACGTTCCCTATATATAGACTACGCTGGATGCTGATTGGCTATTGGATAGTCCATTGCAACTACTTGGCTGTTTTTTTTTTATATTGTTTCACTAAACTTTATTGAAATATTCTTTGCTCCCAGAGTTTAGTAAAGAATTTTAATGCATATTACTCGCCTCCTGTCTTTAATAAAATCTATATTTTCTGACGTTAAGACTAGGAAAATCTTGATTTATCTATTGATTCTGTTCTATCTGCTCTCATTCACTTATCTGAAATTGATACATTGTAGATGGTTTCCTACTGCAGCTCCTCGTCTTTCTTTTTTGTCAACTATATTGTGAGTCAGTTGCCATAAAGACGTGTTGTCCTCCCAATGTTCCGTATATGTTCAGTTTCTCTTTTTCCAGAATACCCTAATAAACTTTTAATTGAAAATAAAAAGGCTTTGTTGTAATATCAGTACACTAGATGACTCTGCATAATGCTAATGGGGCAGGTGATGGTGTGTAAAATCTATGATATCAAAAAACATGAAGATATGGATTTATTGTTAATGAAGGATATTTCAAAGGAACACTAAGCACCAGTCTTTCAGTCAGTGTTCACAGATCATTGACCAATCATTGAGAAACATTTGTGGTTGAGCCGCAAGCTTGCACACAGCTTTTCATTCACAGACTTCTCACTGAGCTGTAGTGCACCTCATTGAGAAGTAGTTGCAGGGTATACACCAAGCTAAAGTTCATTATGTGTTTGGAGTGTCCCTTTAAGGAGAGTATCTTTCTAAATGGTCTTCCTGTTGTTATGGCGCATCTGATTGTTTGACCATCCATGATCTCAGGCACTTTACATTAATGCTTTAGTTTCCTGAGCAATTTCCTCATCAAATTGATCCCTTATTCCACATTATATTAACCTCCTAATGGCTAGAGTGTGAGTAGTAGTTTAATATATATATTTTCTTTTTACGTGCTTGGTCCTTGAAGGGTTAAGGCGTCCCAGTCATGGCCCTTTTGAAGGACTCACAAGGTTTACTTTCAGGAAGTGGAAAGAGTGATATTGTCTTTCTTACATCAGTAAGCATAATCTGAAGCAATCAAGCTAATACTGAGGTTAATTTTACTTGTATTTTACATTTGAACCTTCTGTCTGGTTCATGCTGGAATGCAATTGCAATAGTTCCTGCATAATAGGGAAATTCCCCGAACACTAAGAGACTCCTCGAGCGGTTAGTTTTTCTGTGAGTTTGATTTTCAACAATTCTTTCTTAGTAGGTTAGTTTGTGTTTTGTTGAAGGTACTGCTCTTTCAAAATGTACCTGTCCCTAATTATATTACCAGATTTTTTCCTATTCCTTCCTTCTATGTTGAGTTATGGTTACTCCAGGTTGCTATTTGAAAGAACTTATAAAAGGAGAACAGTCAATTCTCTAGAAAATACACCACTGAATCTAACATTGAATATCAGCTATAACTTGTGTTAGTAACCTTTTTTCATGTGATGCTCCATTTTCTTTTGAAATTATATAAAATATGAAGTTAATGACATTACAATCCAGTTCAATCAGATCAAACTTTGCAAACAAAGAGAAAACAGAAACATTGTTTAGTTTCTCCCCCTTTCTCTATGCTGATTGCAGGTACAAAGGACATAGCTTATAATAACGATTGACAGGGAGCCAAGATGGAGGTGTCCAGTTTCAAGATATAGAGAGTTGTAGATTTCTATATTTGATTGCATTATTTTTCACACCTCACAAACACATAGAAATAGGGGATAAGTAAACGTAATATTACAAATCATGGGAAATTACAATTCTTTTTTTAATGAGGACATTTCAGTTGTTTCTGAAGGTAAGTGAACTCACTTTTATGCTACTAACCATGTCAAGTTCTTCTGGCAAAGGGAGATTACTTAAAGTGCTATTCACGAAAGCCAGACTGCAAAATACAGACATTGCTGATCATATTCATCAATGTCCATATTTTTGTAATTCAGGCTCCAAATGATTCTGGATGGCTGAACTCTCCAGGCCCATATTAAAAGAAAATCCTTGCTAGCTTGCTAGCCAGCCACTACACGAAAAAAAATCAAGCTAATAAAAATACTATGGGGGTTTTTGAGACCCCATATTACTGTAATGGAGATTGTAACCTCCAAATGCACCCATTTACCATGCATGCCATTGTCCCCCTTCCCAATACCAGAATGCCATGACTGGGAAAAAATAAATAAAAAACACAGCCAAGTCTCAAGAGAAGTGAGCCAATGCAATCGGAATTTGGTCATTTTCACTAGTGTTTAGTGAATAACCCTGTTACTGGTTTCCGGGTTAACCTATACCAGTTTTAGGGTTTATCTTTTACTACCTTTACTATTCCTACTGTTCTAACCAGGCTGGTGTATACCATTGACAGTGGACAATCATCTACTGCTAAGATGTACTCTTGTTCTAATTTGATAACTAGCTATTTTCACTACGATTTCATTTTCTGATAATTATACCGTAGTAAAATTTCCTTCTACAGACCTATTTTGATCTATTTTTTATTGTTTTGCCTCTCCCTC